ACATAGCCAAGTCAATTCTAAGCAAAAAGAACAAAGCTAGAGGCATCACGCTACCCGACTTCAAACTATACTACAAGCCTACAGTAATCAAAACAGCATGGTAGTGGTATCAAAACAGAGATATAGACCAATGGAACAGAACAGAGGCCTCGGAGGCAACACCACACATCTACAACCATCTGACCTTTGATAAACATGACAAAAACAAGCAATGGGGAAAAGATTCCCTGTTTAATAAATGGTGTTGGGAAAAATGGCTAGCCATGTGCAGAAAGCAGAAACTGAACCCTTTCCTGACACCTTACACTAAAATTAACTCCAGATGGATTGAAGACTTAAACATAAGACCTAACACCATAAAAACCCTGGAAGAAAACCTAGGCAAAACCATTCAGGACATAGGCGTAGGCAAGGACTTCATGACTAAAACACCAAAAGCATTGGCAACAAAAGCCAAAATAGACAAATGAGATCTAATTAAACTCCAGAGCTTCTGCACAGCAAAAGAAACAGTCATTAGAGTGAACCGGCAACCAACAGAATGGGAAAAATATTTGCAATCTACCCATCTGACAAAGGGCTAATTTCTAGAAGCTACAAAGAACTAAAACAGATTTACAAGAAAAGAACAAACAAACTCATTCAAAAGTGGACAAAGGATATGAACAGACACTTTCAAAAGAAGACATATATGAGGCCAACAAACATATGAAAAAATATTAATCATCACTGGTCATTACAGAAATGCAAATCAAAACCACATTGAGATACCATCTCATACTAGTTAGAATGGCGATCATTAAAAAATCTGGAAACAGATGCTGGAGAGGATGTGGAGAAATAGGAACACTTTTACACTGTTGGTGTGAGTGTAAATTAGTTCAATTTAGTTCAACCATTGTGGAAGACAGTGTGGCGATTCCTCAAGGACCTAGAAAGAGAAATTCCATTTGACCCAGCAATCCCATTACTGGGTATATATAAAGGATTATAAATCGTTCTACTGTAAAGACACATGCACACATATGTTCATTGCAGCACTGTTTACAATAGCAAAGACCTGGACCCAACCCAAATGCCCATCAATGATAGACTGGACAAGGAAAATGTGGCACATATACACCATGGAATACTACGCAGCCATAAAAAAACAATTAGTTCGTTTCCTTTGTAGGGACATGGATAAATCTGGAAACCATCATTCTCAGCAAACTGACACAAGAACAGAAAATCAAACAGCACATGTTCTCACTCAGAGGCGGGTGTTGAACAGTGAAAACACATGGACACAGGGAGGGGAGCATCACATGCTGGGGTCTGTTGCAGGGGGCTAGGAGAGGGACAGTGGGGAGTAGGGAGTTGGGGAGGGATAACATGAGGAGAAATGCCAGATATAGGCGATGGGAACGGAGGCAGCAAGCCACATTGCCATGTATGTACCTATGCAACAATCCTGCATGCTCTTCACATGTGCCCCAGAAGCTAAAGTCCAATAAAATATATATATAAATTTAAAAAATAAATTTAATTAAAAAAAAAACCTCAGCCAATCAGAATTCGGCAATGTGAGACTGTGCTATTCACATACATGGGGTTGTTATCAGCTGAAAATGGCTTATATTGTTCCCAACAATGCCTACTCCAGTTGATGTTCTGAGTTCCTAAAGCCAATATAAACAAAGTACATTATCCATGATCAGTGTCTAATAATAAAATAATATGATTATACCTGTTGCTCATATGTCTATGACTGGGAGACCGCGTGACAAGGGCAGACAATTAAATCAGGATATGCAATAAGTTAATCCTGGGAGACGCTGGAAAAATGAAACTTTGCCTCATCTATGACTGTCATCAGGGGCCATATGAGTCACTCCAAAGTACCTCTAGCTATAGAAACCTCAGGAAAGATGCCTTTCAGCTGTCTTGTCCCTTTGTACTGTTTCTCATGGGCTGTGTCTCTTCTGCTCCGTCTCCCCTCATACCTTCTGGATGATTCTGATGCTTGTGAACACACTACAAGCCAAATGCTGGGCTGAACCGTCTCCATAAGTCTCTTTGATATCTGCACAGTGACCCTGAAAGGTAGACACTATGACAACACTTGTTCAAACGTGAGAAAAACCCAGGCTTAAGATGTCTAAGCATCCAACATAACCAGTAAGTGACAAATGTGGAATTCAAGACTAGGCTTTTAGATGCCACACACTGATCTCTTAAGCACCATCACACAGTGCCTGAGTGCATTACTCAGGGCCCTCCAGAGAAAAGAACCAATAGAAGATATATAGATAAGAGGAGATTATAGATTTATTATAGGCTCACAAGATTATGAAGGCCAAGAAGTCCCACAATCTGCCACTTGCAAGCTGGAGCACTAGGAAAACCTGTGGCATACTTCAGTTCATGTCCGAAGGGTTGGGAACAAGAGAAGCCAATGGTTTAAGTCAAAGAGTCCAAAGGCTGTAGGACCAGGAGCTCCTATGTCCCAGGACAGGAGATTAATGACCCAGGTCAAGGAAGTGAGGGGGTGGGGTGGGCGAGAGAGAATTTGCCTTTCTTTCACCTTTTTGTTCTGTCCAAACCCTCAATGGATTGGATGATGCCCACGCACAGCGCTGAGGCCGACCTTCCCCACTCATTCTACTGATTCATATGCTAATCTCTTTTGAAAACATCTTCACAGACACTCAGAAAAAAATGTTTTATCAGCCACGCGAGTATCCCTTCGCCCAGGCAAGTGGACACATAAAATTAACCATCACACTGAGCATCTTGATTTCTCCCTGGTCACAAAGAAATCGGAATCTTGCTGAGGAAATAAGATTTAGAAAGGCAAAATGACCGCCAGACGCAGTGGCTCACACCGGTAATCCTAGCACTCTGGGAGGTCAAGGCAGGCTATTCATGAGGTCAAGAGATCAAGACTATCCTGGCCAACATGGTGAAACTCCATCTCTACTAAAAATACAAAAATTAGCTGGGCCTGGTGGCACATGCCTGTAGTCCTGGCTGCTCAGGAGGCTGAGGCAGGAGAATCACTTGAACCCTGGAGGCGGAGGTTGCAGTGAGCCGAGACCGCACCACTGCACTCCAGCCTGGTGACAGAGCAAGACTCCCTCTCAAAAAAATAAAAAATAAAAAAATAAGCAGCAGTGTCTGTGTCCTGTTTATCTCAGAGTCTTCAGTACAGAAGAGCACAGCATCACAAGGCAGGTGCTTCATAAATGTTTGCTGGCTGAGTGGGAGGGGAGAAAAGGAGGGATAAAGGGACGAAGGAAGCAACAGTTCCCCTGGCAGGAGACCATGGAACATTCTGGAAGCCATCATGACTGTCAAAAATCCACCAGGTTTGAGAGTCACAGACAGTTCCCTCCCACCTAAACACTGGAACATAAAAGCTGAATTTAGGTTTCAGAGATGGCAGGTGCTATTCAATTCCTGTCTTTATCCAGATTTTATGTTTTGTTCATCATGGGTTTTCTTGTTGAGTTTTTAAAATACTGCATTAAAATACTATTTATCCTGATTACTGAGTCTTGGGTATAACCTCACATTTCCCTCTTAAACTGAGTGTTCCCCTCTTCTCACCCTAGTCCCCGTGCTATTTTCATGCTTGAAGCAAGAGACTCACTCACAACACAGGAATCATGTGAGTGCAAGCAACATGTTCTTAGCTCACAGCCACAGTCCATGCTGCACAACATCAAGCCCCAACATCCCTGGGCAGCGGAAACATATTTTCTGGCAACTACTCACCAGACTTGAAGAATGTTTTGGTGTTTAATTAACTTCCAAGAACACCTGTTTCATCAGCTTATAAATTCCAACTGAATTTTAAGCGACTTCTGTTTGGCATACAGAGTTTTTATTTTCTAGGCTGTAACCACAGCAACATTTTTTTTCCCTGAATATCTGTCCTTCGCTCCTGCCACACACAACTCACCCCCTTCCCCTGCCTTTTGTGGGCATGCAGAGCTCTTCACTGCCTTTTCAAACTACCGATTTAGCTCTCTGGCTGTCAAAACAGCAACACAATAACACATTGTATTGTTTTTGCTTTTCTTGACAATTCACCTAAAGTTTGGACATTTGTACAAGAGAGTACAGTGTGATAAACTGAACTTCCATCACTAGCTAAAACCTATGCACTGATATAGCTGCCATTTTTTAAGCATTTCTAAGCCACATGCAGAGCCCTAGACCAAGTGCTTCACATTCGTTTGCTCTTTCTGAGCAGCAGTTCCCTGCACTGTGGACTGGAGGGGATACCCTCACCGGACAGCAAAGCCAAATGGGTTATGCAACTTTCCCTAGACTCCCACAGCTAGTGAAAAGTACAGTAGAGACTGGAAGCCAAGGCTGGGCACAGTGGCTCACACCTGTAATCCCAGCACTTTGGGAGGCCAAGGCAAATAGATCCCGAGGTCAGGAGTTTAAGACCAGCCTGGTCAATATGGTGAAATCCTGTCTCTACTAAAAATACAAAAATTAGTTGGGTGTGGTAGCAGGTGCCTGTAGTCCCAGCTGCTCGGGAGGCTGAGGCAGAAGAACCGCTTTAACCTAGAAGGCAGAGGTTGCAGTGAGCTGAGATCACATCCCTGCACTTCAGCCTGGGCAAAAGAGCAAGACCCCATCTCAAAAAAAAAAAAAAAAAAGAGAGAGAGAGAGATTGGGAGCCAAGTCTTTCAGACTCCTAAATCTTCCTTGCCTCACCAACTAAGATCTGATTCTAGTACTCCAAAGCAACTCTATTAAGGATTATCTGGGAATATAGCAATGAACGAATGTCAAATATGACAGTAGTCAAGATGAAAGCAGTAAAGAATACCATCACCTACATGAAGGTTTGATTGGGAGGTCAGGAGGGGCGTTGGTAAATAGTCCTCCCCAAACTAAGATTAAGCCCAGACATGAGTGAGGAGAGATTATAAGACAGTAATGACAAAAGATCTGGAGTCAACTACAGTCTACACTGACTGGCCTAACTTCTCTGTGCCTCAGTTTCTTCTGTTAGAAAATGGGAATAATAGTTTTTAATTCACAGGCCTGATGTATGAATAACAGGAATTAATGCAAAATCTTTACCCAGAAACCTGATATATAGTAAAAGCTCAATGAATATTGTAATTATTGTGTACACTTAAAATACTTTTGCCAGGCTATTCCCAATCTACTTCCCACCATCTCCAAGATACTTGTCAAACACCTGGGTGCTTGGGCAGTCAACCTTCATGCCCACCATGTACTTTTCTTTTTTATTTTTATTAATTTTTGCTTTTATTTTGGCAATTTAAGGGGTACAGGTGGTTTCTGGTTACATGGATAAGTTCTTTTGTGGTGATTTCTGAGAGTTTAGTGCACTCATCCCCAAGCAATGTACATTGTACCCAATATATATAGCCTTTTTATCCCTCACCCCACTCCCAACTTTTCCTGAGTCCCCACAGTCCATTATATCATTCTTATATCTTTGCATCCTCATGGCTTGGCTCCCACTTATAAGTGAGAGCATACACTATTGGTTTTTCCATTCCTGAGTTGTTTCACTTAGAATAATGGCCTGCAGCTCCATCCAAGTTGCTGTGAAAGACATTATTTCTTTTTATGTCAATAGTCCATCCACCATGTGCTTTTCTCATCTGCATCAGCTTGCCTTTCCTCACACTACCAGGTGTCCCAGGTGTGTCCTCTCCTAACCCAACTTTGAGGTTATTCTTGAGCTTGTCTTTGCTGTCAAGCCTTCCCTGACTATACCAGGCCTCAGTGATCTCCCTCACTTCTGCACTCCTTCCCACACTTGCTGCCTTTCCCATTCATGTGACGCATCCAAAAGTCACCTTGCCTTGGCTATCCTGTGATGGAGACACACTCTGGACCATCCCATGGACCTCTCATCCCTACCCATTCCTGACGCTTATTCATTCATTCATCCCCCAAATATCACTCATGTACTTTGTGCTAGAACCTGAGGGTACACATAGCAACGAATGAAGCAGATGTAGAACCTGTCCTCATGATCTTCAGAGCTCAGTGAAGAAGATAATAAACAGGTTACTGGAGAAATAACTATACAATTATATACTGTAACAAATGCAATGAAGAAAAAGAAGAGTAAAATAACTATTTGGGATTGGTAAGTATTCTCTCCCTCGACATCAATATAAAACTGAGAGCTTAGCCCCTCTGTCCGTTGATCACTTTATCTGGCCCATCATAAGCTAACATCTCTAAGCATAAAATCCTCCTTTACACGAGGATAGGAAAGGGCCAAATGAGCCTTTTCCACGAGAATAGGAAAAGGCCAAAAAAGGCTTCATTTTTCTTTTCTTTGGCAAAGTCATGGCTTGTTGCATGGCACAGAAGTTCCTGGGCCCAGGCTCCAAGACCTTATTGGTTTGGCACTTGCCTTTGGTTTGTGCCTGAGCCTCAGAGAGGAAGCAGCTTACTTCAAATTCTAGCTGGGCCTCCAGGAAAGAACAGCCTTCAGATTCTCTTCACTAATTTCCAAACAAAAGCAGTAGTAGGGTTTTTGAAAACCACAAAACTAAGAGAGTTGTGAAAAATAAGGTACTGCAAGCAGGAAATGATAGCTAAGGCTCAAGCCTGGGGTCCAACCTAGCAGGCGTCTGGTGAATCACAAGTTCTAAATCTGAATGGAGATTTTTGGGTGCTTGCAGAGGATCTTGAAATTTGTTTTTTTATTCCAATCAGAGAACTCTCTAAAAGGATTTGGGCTAAGCCTGGCAATTTCTACTTTTCTTTTCAGGGTGGAAGGCAGCCCACTTTCTTGCACCTTTACTCTTAAGTCTAACTTGCCATCGACTTACCCATTCTGGTCACTTTTCTTGAGATGGCCATCACTTTGTACATGGAGGCCCAGCTGACCCTCTTCCAAAATGCCAGCCCTGTTAACTCTGTAGAATTCTCACTTCCCAAACAGCCTGTTGGCCTACAGCGATTCCTGCTATGGTCAGTTTCACCTGCAGATCCCTGATCTCTTTCTAGCCCTCCCATCCCTGCAAAGCAAGTCAAACTCCTGGTCACAGCTGTGAGGTGTCCATGAGAGAACCTGGTCTTTGAAATCAGACAGGTTGGGGTCCAATTCCCAGTGACCCTATGACTGGCTGAACTTCATCTTATCCATCTGCGAATACAGCATTTCATAAACTTAGAAAATAGAGGAAAAGTATTTTTATGATTTCACACTTTGAAGACATCCTTAGTCACTATACATGTATAATGGGAAACTGGTCCCTTTCCCACTATTAATAATGTATATCACATGCAAGATAGTCTTGATCGTAGCTCTGTCTTTCTATGCAAATATATACATACAGTCATTAAGGATGTCTTCAAAGTGTGAAATTACATACTTTATATAATAAACATTTTTATATAATGTATATATAATATATATAAACATTTATATATAATGTATATAATATAAATATATAAACATGTGTGTGTGTGTGTGTGTGTGTGTGTGTGTGTGTGTGTGTATAATCACTATAGGATGTCTATTATACCTAGATTTCCAGACTTAATGGACATCCTATAGTGATAATGACACTAGGCCCACAGGATTACCCTGAGGATGAAAGCAGTTAATATCTGCCAAGTGCCTGAATTCCTGCCTGGCCCGTAGAAAAGGCTCAGAAAGTATTGGGTCCCCTCCTCTCAGCCCAAACTGGTCCCTTTCCCACTATCATAATGCATATCGCATGCTAGATTGTCTTGATGGTAGCACTCTGTCTTTCTATGCAACTTTACATCAGAAAAATCCATTTGCTTGGTTGTGGGGGGACAAAATCAGGACTGACTGTTGTCATTATCACATTGTCATCCAGATTCCCAAAGAGTTCGGGATTTTTACAAAAGTATGTCTTGACAGTTGCAACTATCTCATGCTAAAATTAAGAGGTAAAGATGTTTATTATGTAGGAGGCCAAATTTCTGGCAACAACCTGTACCTTGTCTATTAGGAGAAACGAGTGGGTCTATATATGACTTGGAGTCTCTGCGAAGGCTTGGTTTAGATTGTCTGCAACCACATGAGAAGGTATATTTTCCAAGCCCAAGAATTTATCAGCATCACCTACATCTGCAAACCTGTCATTTATTTATGCTGCACATTACTTTGAAAAAAAAAAAAAAAAGTAACAACCCTGCTTTGTAACCAAATGTTTTATTTGATTGCAGGCTGTGGGATGAATTAATGTGACAAAGGGGGTCATTGGAGAAAGCCTATTATAAAAGTGCAGTAATAGTTGCTTTCCAGAGGAAGTAACTAAATACATTCCAGTCTTGTTGAAGAGTACACATCTGATGAAATATACGTATGATTTCAATGGAAGAATAGTTCGCATTTGGTTAGGTTTTTTAACAACAATTTAGCTCAGCTTCCCCCATAATAAAAAGCTTATAGACTATTTCAGTGTTTTGCATCCCAAAGAAAAGATGCATTTACATCTGCGCATAAGTTTGTCTATATGTGCATGTGCTGCCCACACTGTTCCATTTTAAACCTCTACTCTTCTCTGCTTGGGACCAAGATAAACCACCAGGTGATGGCTTCTAGGCACAGGGATGGGAACACAGCACTTACTTCATAGACTTTAGCAAGTCCTCTAGGAAGCTGCCTTGCAGGGCAAGCCCCAGAAACACTTCTACCACCGTCCTCTAAGGTTAATCTTCTCAGGCTCAGGGAAGAACCAACAAAATAGCAAAGGTCATCTAATTCTGTCCCCCGCAACCCCTACCAAAATTCTGCAACTGACTTCCACAGGCGAGAATAGCTAGATCAGTGTTTGTCAAATGTGTTCATGCCAGGACTCTTTTTGATTCATCATCTCATAGGATTACAGGAATGCCTCATTTTACTGCTCTCTACTACATCATCTTTGCAGATAATGTTTTGTTTGCTTGTTTGCTTTTTATAAACTGAAGGTTTGTGCTACTCTGGGTTGAACCAGTGCATCGGTGCCATAATAGCATGTGCTCACTTGCTGTCTCTGCATCACATTTTGGTAATTCTTACAATATTTAAAACATTTTAATTATTGTATCTGTTATGATCTGTGATCAGTGAGTTTTGATGTTAGTATTAAATTGTTTGGGGGCACAACAAATTGCTTCATATAAGATAGCAACTTAATAAATGTGTGTGTTCTGACAGTCTCACCATGCACCTATCTGTCTCCCTCTCTTTGGGCCTCCCTATTCCCTGAAACTAAACATTGAAATTAGGCTGATTACTAACCCTACAATGGCCTGTAAGTGTGCAAGTGAAAGGAAGTATCACCCGTCGCTCCCTTTAAATCAAAAGCTATAAATAATTCAGTCTAATGAGGAAGGCATGTCAAAAGCCAAGCTTGGGAATTGTTGCTTCAGGTCTGCCTTATCTAAGAGGATAATGTAGAAGACAAAGAGGGGGCACCCAAATAAATTCTACCTTCCATCATTTGGCAACCTTGATTGGCTCCAGATTTTTTACCAGGGGGCAGAAGCATTGAGAATTCACAGGACTCCCTTAGTGAGCATGGCCTGAGTCAAAAGCTAAGAACTCTAGTGCCAAACTGTCAGCCAAGTTGTGAATGCAAAGGAAAATTTATTGAAGGAAATTAAAAGTACTGTGCCAGTGAATATATAAATGAAGAGAAAGTCAAACAGCCTTATTGCAGATAAAGTTTTATATTTTAATTGTTACAGAATTTCACATTTCTTCAAGCCAAAGCCTGATCCAGAGTAAGACCCTAACTCTCTAATTCTGTGAAGACTGAGAGAGATGAGGAAGCTGCGGAAGAAAAGTTGGAAGCTAGTAGAAGTTTGTTAATAGAGTTAAAGGAAAGAAGCCATCTTCATACCATAGAAGTACAAGGTGAAGCAGCGGGTGCTAATACAGAAGCTGCAGCAAGTTATTCGGAAGATCTAGCTAAGATAATTTGTAAAGGTAGCTACACAAAACAGATGTTCAATATAGACAAAACAACCTTCTATCAGAAGAAGATGCCATCTAGTACTCCTGGTTAGAGAGGAGAAGTCAAGGCCTGGCTTCAAATATCCAAAGGACAAGCTGACTATCTTGTTATGGGCTAATGCAGCTGGTGACATAAAGGGGAAGCCCAAGTTCATTTATCATTTCAAAACTCCTAGGGCCCATGAGAATTATGCTAAATCTACTCTGCCTGTTCTCCATAAATGGAACAACAAAGCCTGGATGACAATGCATCTGTTTACAACACGGTGTATCAGATACTTTAAGTCCATTATTGAGACCTACTCCTCACAGAATAAAAGATATCTTTCAGAATATTACTGCTCATTGACAATGCACCTGGTCACCCAAGAGCTCTGATGGAGACATACAAGGAAATTAATGTTGTTTTCATGCCTGCTAACACAATATCTATTCCACAATCAGTGGATCAAAGAGTAATTTTTTACTTTCAAGTTTTATTATTTTATTATTTTAAAAATGCATTTTGTAAGGCAATAGACAGTGTTTCCTCCGATGGATTTGGAAAAAGTAAATTGCAAACCATCTGAAAAGGATTCGCTATTGTAGATTCCTTTTTAAAAATATTCATTATTCACAAGAGGAATCAAAATATCAACATTACCAGAAGTTTGGAAGAAGTTGATTTCAATCCTCATGGGTGACTTTGACGGATTCAAGACTTCAGTGGAGGAAGTAACCTCAGATGTGGTGGAAAGAGAGAGAGAACTGGAACTAGAAGTGGGGCCTGAGGATGTGACTGAATTGCTGCAATCCTGTGATCAACCTTGAAAGAATGAGGAGTTGCTTCTTATGAATTAGCAAAGAAAGTGGTTTCTTGAGATGGGATTTACTCTTAGTGAAGATGCTGTGAACATTCTCAAAATGACCACAAAGAATTTAGAATATTATATAAATTTAATTAACAAAGCTGCGGCAGGGTTTGAGAGGACTGGCTCTAATTTTGAAAGAAGTTTTACTGTGGGTCAAATGCTATCAAATAGCATCACATGCTGCAGAGAAATATTTTGTGGAGTGAAGAGTCAATACATGCGGCAAACATCACCATGGTCTTCTTTTTAGGAAATTGTGGGAGCCATCTTAGCCTTCAACAACCACCACCAGTCAGCAGTTACCAACATCAAGGTAAGACCTTCCACCAGCAAAAAGATTATTGACTCTAATTCTCAGATGATCGCTAGCACATTTTAGCAATATTTTTAAATTAATGTCTATATGTTAATTTATAAATAATGCTATTACACATTTAATAGACTACAGTGTCATGTAAAAATAACTTTTATATGTACTGGGAAAGCAAAAAATGTGTGACTTTCTTTTTTGCAATATTCGCTTTATTGCAGTGTTCTGGAACAGAACCCACAGTACCTCTGAGGTATGCCTGTAATATTTTATGGATTGCAGCTTAAAAATCATTGCTTCAAGTGTGCTTTGTCTAAGAGGATAATGTAGAAGAGAAAGGGGGCCATCTAAACACATTCTTACCTCCCATCATTTGGCAAACTTGATTGGCTCCAGATGTTTTACCAGAGGGCAGAAGCATTGAGAGGTCATAGGGCTTAAGCAAGCTCCACTCCGGAATTCAAAACCTCTAGAAAATAACTCCAGGATCAAATGGCCTCCCAGAGGTAGAGACTGGAAGATATCCTTATTTTGGGTACCCATAACTGGGGAGCACTATTAAAAATAGTAGATGCCCAAGCATGTGCTGAATTCCTTGAGAGCAGATAACTTAGGCCAAGGTGAATCACTAAATCTGTGTTTCTACCCATTCCTGGAGGGACAGCCTTAGCACTGCGGGAAACCTTCTCAGGATACCAGAGACAGAAACCCAACACCTTTCTGACCCTTAGGGAATTAAATGGTAAAATATCAAGTAAGGGCTTAGCTTATTTCCATAGGGTTCTCCTAGGCCAGCTACTCTGTGCTCCAACTCCTCTGGCTTTTGCATTAATTCTCAAGTTAACTCAAATTATAATCATGTTTCCCTGGGCCACAAACTTTAAGAACCATAACTGAAGGCTAAGACTTCCCGAAACTTATGCCAATTGAGTTCATTTGTCCCTTCCTTGACCCTTCAGGGACAGAATCATTGTTAATCATTGCTAAATGTAGTATCAGGGCATTGCCATTCAATTAGGAGCCATACTAATTGATAAAACTAGCCAATCCACCCAGATAAAACTAGCTGAGTTAGCAAGTGCACTTAACAAAAAACATTTGCCAAACTCGAGGTCTATGTGGAGAAAAGGGAACACTTACACAGTGGGTGGGAATGTAAATTAGTTCAGCCACTGTGGAAATCAGTTTGGATACTGCTAAAATAACTTAAAACAAAACTACTGTTTCACCCAGCAATTCCATTACTGGGTACATATTCAAGGGAAGACAAATCGTTTTTACCAAAAGGACACAGGCATTTGTATGTTCATCACAGCACCAGTCACAATAACAAAGACATGGAATCAGCCTGGTTGCTCATCAATGGTGGATTGGATAAAGAAAATGTGGCACATATACGCCACGTAATACTATGCAGCCATAAAAAGAACAAAATTGTGTTCTTTGCAGCACCATGAACACAGCTAGAGGCCACTGTCCTAAGCAAACTAACATGGGAACAGAAAACTAAATAGTCCATGTACTCACTCATAGATGGGAGTTAATCATTGGGTATCCATGAACATAAAAATGGTAGCCACAGACACTGGGAACTGCTAGTGAGGGAGGTAGAGAGGAGGACAAGACTTGAAAACTAATTATTGGGTATTATGCTCACTACCTGGGTGATGGAACCAATTATACCCCAAACCCCAGCATCATGCAATATACCCATAAAACAAAACTGCACATGTACCCACTGAATCTAAAATAAAACTTAAAATTATAAAAATAAATAAATTTGAAATCTAGAAAATATTCAGTTCTTGCTAAGATTTGAGTAGATGAAAGTAATACATACATCAATGTAAAGGGGAAAAAAAAGATCCCAGTACCAAGGACATTCAGTTAACTGCAATAGCTAAACCTTAGTTTCCTTCATTTTGTTAGGATAAGCTAACCTAGGACATAGCCATTTAAGTGATAATTACATAATCACGTGTTAAAAAGTTAAAAAGTTAAATTTCAGGGTACTTTCTTTGGACAAAGCACTCTGCAAAACCCTCTACGCAGACTATTTTATTTAATTCTCACAGCAACTGAGTGATGTCCAGGGTATTTTATCTCATTCTATAGCTGAAAAACTGAGACTTAGAGAAGTTAAGAGATCTATCCAAGATCACTCAGCTACTAAGTGCTGAAGCTGATACTGAACTCAAATACATTTGAATTCAGAGCCTACACTCCTGATCAACACATACAAGGGATAGGCTGTGCCTTTCTCCTGGAACTGCTGCATTTAGGAGAGACTAAACTAAAATTCTAGTCTCTTTTTCATGCAACTGGTTACTATTATATACCCATTAGGTCCGAAAAACCACCTTGGATCTTTGATACTCATCATCATTGAATCCCTATAGGAGTGCTTTGATATGGGCCATATTCACACTTTCTATGCAAATAACTGAGACTCAGAGAGCTTTCCTGCCCCATTTCACCCTATTAGGAAATGGCAAAACCAGCACCCAACCTCAAACCATGCCCCATTCCAAAGCCATGCCTTTTACTTCCAGATTACCTGTCACCCTGTCAGAAGTTTCCATTTACAAATGTGGAAAACTTGAGATGGCTGGAACCATCAGCCATACTGAGAATCATGACTGGCTTCCTCCTGCAAATTTTCAGAGTAATTGTTTGGTGTCTCCGAATTTTGAAAACCAGGCAGCTGGTCGCAAACAACCAGCATCGACTCAATATGTAGACCATCATGCTGAAATAATTCCAAAGAACATTGGTGGTAAATGTTCTTCAAGTTATAAAAATTTCCACTAGTATTGTCATGGAACATGAAAGTTTTTTTGTAAGTCTGGGCCTCTCTCCAGCTCTTCCTAGGGTTCCTCTTTGGACTCCTTCACTTACAAATTGTTAACTTCTTGAGTTAACTTTTAGATTTAGAGAGCCCTGCAGGAAGCTGTGACGTCAGGTGCCAGTTTTCTTCACAACTAACAGATGTGCACCTTCCCACTCCCCCATCTTCCCACCACCTAATGCACAATGGGTTTGAAACACCTTTCTCCAGTTCCCACTGTTAATAAGACAGTGTAGCTCAGAATCTAAGCTTGGATCCCAAGTGTGTGCCTTGCAAAGACTTTGGCTAGTTTTCTAAGAATTTCTTCTCCTCCCTAAGGCTGGCTTCATCTGCCTGCTGGAGAAGAGCCAGCAACTCTCACCACAGCATTCCCAAGGCTTTCATCTCAGAGGACAGCTTCACGATAAAGTCAATCTAGCCCACTTTCCATCCTGTGCCTTTGCTATTATTAAATATCCAAGTGGAACTAATGAATGCCTTTTACTTCCCTTGAACATAAAGAGTCTTGAAGAAATCGAACCACCACAGCCTGCCGACTTGAGGGAACTAGTCTGGTCTTTGAGAAAATGAGTCTGTCATTTCCACCCCATCCCCAAAAACAGTTCTCAGTTTCTTGTGCCCACCTAAAAGGATAATAATATCTTCCCCATTACCATGCCAGCAAGAAAAAATGTTTCTTTCCCCAGGAGGCAGAGACACATTTTCTGACTGAGCCTGGAGACAAAAATGCTATAATTTGAATTCATTTTCCTTAAAATATCTTTAAAATATCTGGTATGTGTCCCTGAGTTCTGTGTAGTCAGCAGTTTTCCCAATAAGCTCATTTATTGTTCATGCTGACTAGAACTGGAGTTTATTCCCCAGTCCCATTCTTATCTCCCCTGAAAACTTTCAGAGAAATGATCCTAATATCTAGTGGAAGAACAGATTAGAAAAAAAGGCATGAAAGGCCTGTCCCTGGAACAGAGCTCCACGCAGTTTCCTGAAGAAAGCAACATTGGAGAACACGCCTCAGTGATTTTCCTCAGTTTCTTTTCCTGAAGATCCCCAGACAGAGCAAGTCCCTGAGAAAGCTCTGGGGGACGGAGCTCCAAGCATCTGCTTGTAATACTTCCTCAGCAATTCACAACGGGACCAGGAAGAAAACCCAGTGTAGGGCAGGATGGGGCTCACATACCTTTTGGAGTCAGGAGCAGAGGAAAATTGCAATTGAAGGGGAACAGAAAGGGAGCCACATGAGGGCTCTATGCAAATGTTTAACCTTCAAAACTAAAAAGTATTAGAGTCCTGGAAGAAACAAAAAATCTGATGAGATGAACTCTAAGGACAAGAATGAATCATTCTCCATACTCCCTTTCCCAAGCCCCAACTCACCAACCCAGAACAATGGCATTGCCTTCCCTCAAACTTTGGAAAGTTCTAAAAAGATAAGGATGTAACCTCTTGCTCTAATGGATCAGTCAGTTACATCTTTCAGTCTGTCCTCCTAGCATCAAAGATCCCAACAAGGTTAATAAATTCTGAAACTGTTTCCACATAAAAGGGTGGCAATTGCTAAGATTGGACCAAGATGCTGGAACTGTCCCTGGTGCTGCCTCAATGGTGACTGTAGCCCAGGCTTATTGATCTGTCCATGGTTCCTGCCATGTCTAACTTTTCAACATTGCTCTTTGAGTTATGTAGTTCCAATTTATGCCTTTATAACCACACCTACTCTTAATACTCACGTGTTCTGCAACACTCCCCAGCCTCAGTGGACTGAACTCCATTTCTTGATTTAAAACCCCTGCCCACAACGTAGCCCACCACTATCACAGATCACTGCCTGCAGCATGAACATGTTAACTTTATCCTTAGGAGAATCTGAGGCCACT